TGAGGTGCTTGAAGGTTTATCACTTAACACAAGCGATAACTATGAGCGGCCCGTGGTACGCGCTACGTGCGCGACCACGTCCCTCGGCCAACTCAACGAGAAAACATGAAAATCTTTCGAGCACATAAGCTTAACAGAACATAATATTATATAACATGGCTGAATACATAGAGTTTGCTTGAGAAATTCGAATTAAAACTTGACATAGCTTTGCACGGCCGATGATAATAAGTGAACTAATCATGAACTTGAACCTCAATTTGATTTGAAATAAACATGCTACTATCAACCCATCTCAACAAGGAAAATATCTCTTCACTTGTCGCCTGATTGCACAAGGTGCTCCCGTGCGTGTGAGCGGTGCTCTCGGCGGAGCGGCTAAGCTTTCTCGCGTGCGTGTGTACTCTTACTTAAGCAAAATTCTCCCAACTCTCCTCACTAAGTATACTATATATGCTGGCTTATATAATGCTCAAAAATGTGGGAAAAAATATCCCAAAATACCTCTTATATATGATGGTCATAGGTAAGAAAGGAGGTGATGAGGGCCTTGGTGGCTAATTATAAACATGCCACTTGGAGCAATACTATGAAGTTGAGGATGACTAATCCTTCTAATTAGCTTAGTCATCAGGACACCTCATGCTAGAATATAAGGCAAAGTTTTCTTCCTCCCTAAGAAATTGCGTACGACATTTGTAGAGAAAATGAGAAAATAGCTACCGCTATTTAATTAAATTGAGCACCAACACCTTAATTGTTACGACTTGATCTCATTTAAGCGTGATTAATTAATCACTAATAGTCACTTTATGCTTAATTAATTATTAAGCATAATACTTAATTACCAAAATTATTCCGAACGTAAATGAAACATCGAAAATAATTTCGGGTAATCTCGACTGAAAATAATTAATTCCGAAAATAATAATCAACAACGTTATTATATCGGAACTAAAACATGATTTATATTAATAATCTGACAGGATATTACAAAAATGCATCGATAACGGTCGAAATATATTAAAACGGTATTTAAAAAACGATAAACACACCACATTATAAAATATAGCATTAAACATTAATTAAATATTCTCATGGCATAATAGTAGCAAAATCTAAATTAATCCACACCATTTGCTATAACAAAATCCATACAAATTCCAATAACTAGCAATTGAATTGTGACTTGTCCACCAAATTCTCATGGAATAATAGTAGCAATTGAAATTTGAAACATGAAATGGGAGCAAGTAGGTGAGAAATCAACCATGGAACCACCAAATCCACAAAAAAACCACAACAAACGAAACCCAGAATTCAAAACATAAATCACTAAAACAATGATGGGAGTTAAACATAATATATATACTTGTCCTTCACAGCAAGTTGTCGTCTGCCTACAACTGAATCTCAGGCAAATCATCACTATCAATTGCCACATTGTCATCACGTCCCATTTCTGACAATTCATCCTACAATTTGTAATGGAAAAATATTTTAACACTCATACAAATATTTCACGAAAAGAATAATAAAAAGGCCTGAAAAGAATTGAAATCATTATCTTCACACTAGAACTATATGAAAAGAGATGATGCAATATTTGTAAATTGTAAAATAAATTCAAATCATAATTTCTCTAACTCATATCTTCATTTTTCCTTGCGTGCAAAATATTTACTTGACTCTTCATTCTTGTGAAATATTGAAACAACACTGAAATAAATTTGTCAGCATATTCTATTATTATTGACAACATATTTGAAATTATTAATATTGCAACTCAAGAAAGAAAGAAAGAACCTCAAACATTAGATTATTCTTAATGGCTTCAAGTACATCAAGGTCACCCGGCAGCGAAGCAACATTCTTAGAACCTGAAAATAAAAAAATTAAAACCAAGTGCTTAGTGAATCTTTGTAATCTAAAACCAACAATCAATTTGAAATTTTACCTTTTCTAGTAGCTATTATCCAGTCCTTAGTGTAAACAAGAGCTTGTACCATGTCAGGATCAAGGCGACTGCGATATGGATCAATGACACGACCACCAGCACTAAATGCAGATTCAGATGCAACGGTTGAAACTTGAATTGCCCACACATCATGAGTAAGTCGGGACAGGACAGGATACTCTTCCTTATGAGATTTCCACCATGCTAAAATGTCAAACATGTTCTGGTTGGCTTTAGTGGTCTTCAATGGTGGTTCTTCTAAGTACCTTTCCAATTCACTGAACTCACCATCAACATCATATGAGTCACTTTCAAATAGGTAGTTATCAAGCTCATCATCTATGTTGTTGTTGCCCATAAATAGATATGCCAATGGTTCTTCAACTTCTTTATTGCTCTTTGAAGAAGAAGGTGCAGCAGAAACATAGCATTGAAACATCTTCCTTAGGATACCATTGAATTTTTCAAGTTCAGCTTGGTAGGAATTATTATAGAACATTCGCAAGTAAAATTCCACAATTCTTCTCTTGAACCTAGGATCAAGAACATTTGCTACAGCAAGTGCAATATTAGACTTCTTCCAGTACTTATCAAACTTGACACTCATAGCATTTGCCATTCCACAAATAGTGTTATCCTTACTAATGCACCAATCAGCTAGCAATATCTTAATCTCACAAAAGCCTCTAAAAAATAGATTCGCCGTTGGATAGGTAGTACCAGAGAATATCTCAGTAAGCTCAAAGAATTTTTTCAAGAAGGGAATCAAAATTTGTGCCTTCTCCCATTCATGATATGAAGGAGTAATACTACCATACCTGTGGCGGTCAATGGAAGTCAGCCTCGCAAAAGCAGTCTTATAATATAGAGCATCCCTCAACATTAGATATGTTGAATTCCACCATGTAGAAACATCAAGTGACAGAGAAGGCTTTGTGTCTAACCCACATTCAACAGCACACTTTTGGAACTCCTCCCACTGTATTGCAGACCCTTTAACAGCAAGTACAAATTCCCTAATCTTTTCAGTTGCATCAGAAATCACATGCATACCATCTCTAACAACCAAATTCATGATGTGATTAGCACATCTCACATGAAAAAATAGCCCATCATATACTAAATTGCTATGCTTCTTGAGCTATTTAATTAGATCCTTAACAGCAACCTCATTTGCAGAAGCATTATTCAAAGTCAAAGAGAACATCTTTTTCTCAACATACCATTTTAAAAGACAAGAACTAACCGTATAAGACAACCTCTCACCGGTTTGTCGCCCTTCAACATGGAGGAAATTGATAATCCTCTTCTGAGTTTTCCAATCATCATCAACCCAATGAAGGGTGACACACATATAACTCTTATTTTGGTTGGATGTCCATATATCCATTGTTGCACTAAACCGGCTTTGAATGGTTTTGAAGTATTCATACAACTTATCTCTTTCAGCCGAATAATACTCCATGATTTCCTTTCTAACAGTGACACGAGACTTGAGAGGATAATTTGGACGCATGGATTTGACCCATTCTTGAAAAAACTCATGCTCAACCATGTTGAAAGGATACTCATGAACAATCATTGCCTCATAGAACTTCCTCAAGCTAGCTTCTTGATCATATTTATAAGGTTGGACTGTTGCAATGCCTATCTCATTATTTTTTTTTTGTTGTGAGCTGCTGATGTCCTTTCTTTATACTGTGGTAATTAGCAAGATGTGTCCAAAAAGCAGTTGTTCCAAAATTGCTCTCAGCTCTATGCTTGCTAGTCTTGTTTTTGCACCCTTTGAAATTGCACTTTGCCCAACATTGTTGTTCTTTCTTGCCATTTACCTCCACTGTCACCCAGGACTTGGTGAAGTATTGCCACACTTTAGATGTGGTTTTCTTTGCCTTCTTGGTAACAGGTTGTTCCTCAAAATCACTGTCCACATTGATAGCATCATGACTCTCCTGTGTGCCACCACCATCGGCTGCTTCACTTGGCACTAAACTTCCCTCAGATGAAGGTATCGATGTTGAAGCAGGTGCTGGCGAGGAAGCAGACACACTATAACTTTGATTTGCGACACTTGAAGGCAACATCATTTTGTTACGAGTACCTATCAAATATCAATCAAAATATTAAAGAAATAACTAAATTGTAAAAGAACTCCCAAATTAAAAGAAATAAACTCAGAAACAATGTACAATACTAAATAGCACAAGTTAATATTTTTCTTAGAACCTTAAATTTAATAGCTTATGTTCTGCTTCTACTTCATAAACCTAAATTATTGTGCTTATTCTTCACATATTTTCCTAAAAACAACAATGAGAGACATGAATTCACTTCAAAAATCCCCCCTCCCGCCTGCCCTCCTATATTCTGTCCATTTCCCTTCACTGAACCAATCATATCAGGAACTCCATAATATATTATGTGCATTATCCGAATTCCTGCTGATAAAATTAATCCAACGTAATTAAATAACATATCACGAACTCCATAATATAATGAAGGCATATTATAACAATAATGACAAGCAGATGCAAACAAAAGAAGCACCAGGAATTAGCTATACGAAAACCATTTTCAATGTTAGGAAAAGGTATTAGGTGATATAGAACAGAGTTACTAATCACAATCCATGTCAATTTATGCAGTCAGATGCAAATAAAAAGCAAGAAGCAAGCTTGAAGCAGTTAACAAAAGAATCACTAAAAGAGACGCAAACTAGTCTGAATCACAGCCAAACCGGCCTAGCAAAATGAAGAATCATGACACCATATATCTAATCTCGTCACACATTTCACAAAAAGATGTGTGAAGATTCAATTCTCATCCTTATTCTATTCTAAGAATCAATTCGCACAAATAGATTTCTAAGAATCAATTCTCTTGTCCCAAAATTTGCATCAAATTCGCACAAACAGATTCACCAAAATTGCATCCCTACAGAACACAAATCAAACGAAGCTTACTGGAGTCTTTCGCCGATTTCTGAGCTCCGGTGACAAGACCAGGATGTACAAGTTTTTCTGGTGGCTCCATAACTATTGGCGTGAATTCAAAGTGTGGTAGGCGGCGGCAGCTGGAGCCTCTAGCGGGTGGTGCGGTTGCGACGTTGATGGGAGTGGGGCGCGACGGTGACGAGCAAGTGACAGGAGTGGCAACGAGCAGGCGCGGTGAATTGCGATGGCCGTCGGCCGATGGAAGAGATGACAGACTCCCAGAAGAGACTCGAGAGTGAAGGCCGAACGGGATGGAGGGGATTTGGGCACTGTAGATGCGGTTGCGACGGTGATGGGCGTGGGGCGCGG